GAGTGTGTGTGTGTGTGTATGTGTGTGTGTGTGTGTGAGAGAGTGTGTGTGTGTGTGTATGTGTGTGTGTGTGTGTGAGAGAGTGTGTGTGTGTGTGTATGTGTGTGTGTGTGTGTGAGAGAGTGTGTGTGTGTGTGTATGTGTGTGTGTGTGTGTGAGAGAGTGTGTGTGTGTGTGTATGTGTGTGTGTGTGTGTGAGAGAGTGTGTGTGTGTGTGTATGTGTGTGTGTGTGTGTGAGAGAGTGTGTGTGTGTGTGTATGTGTGTGTGTGTGTGTGAGTGAGTGAGTGTGTTTGTGTGTGTGTGTGTTTGTGTTTATGGGATGTAACCTTTGAATCCAATAGTCCCTCACTATCCATCCTGCTCTGTTTCCATAGTAACACACTACAGTATGTCAAACACTATAGTCAATTGTAGACGTGTGTGTGTGTTTTATTCTGAAGATGATCAGTTTTATAAATGCATGGTGATCATGAACCTTTTCTGAGCCTTACAACTCGATATCCACATCTGAGTTTACACAAGCTCCATCACTTTTCCTTCTTATGATTTCTCTGGGCTGCTTTATTTCCATAACAAAGAAAACCAAGGTGAAATCTCAAAAGAGATCGCATAAGAGTGATATGAATGTTCTTATCTATTATAACACATTACTGTCATCTCCATGGAAACAACAATTCCCCTCTTTCCTCCGTTATAAGTGCCGTGCCCTCGCTGCCTGTGCCATTACGCTCATTATAGACCTGTGAGAGACGGTAAAAATTATTTGACCAAAGTAAGAGGGATCATACAAAATGCATGTTATTGTTTATTTAGTGCTGAGCTGAATAAGATATTCACATAAAAGATGTTCACATATAGTCCACAAGAGAAAATAATCTCTTATATAAAGAAAATAAAGAATTTATAAAAAAAAGAAACCTCTAAATAAAGTCACCTTATAGTGAAAGTCTTGTAGAAATGTTCTGATCACTAATGTAATCTACTGCATAAACACTTTCTTTAAAACATAAAAACGAGCCACATATCCTCGTATCAACTTGCATTTCTTGAAAATAAGCAGCTCATTAAAAATCAGTCACTGTCCCTGTTAGTGTCTGATGACATCATAGGAAGTGTGGGCGGGCTCTAAGCTCTTCAGAGCTGCTGATTGGCTGTCTGTGATGATTGATGGCTCACACGGCAGGAAGTCATCGTTGCCGACGCTGGAGTTCTGCTCGGAGCTCACGAAGTTCGGAATGTGGAAGTCGGACAGGAAGTGCTCGTCTTCATCACCTCTCTCGTCCTCTGCCGCCCCCTGGAGGTGGAGCCCGGGGCCCCGCCCACAACACCTCCCTCGGCCAATCACAGTGTCTCTGACGGTCTCCTCGTGAATGTAGAAGTGAAAGAGGGAACGTGATTCGTCCGGCAGCGGCGGCAGAGAAAGCGCCTGAGAGCCGCCGAGCTCCAGCACACAGTCAGCTAGACCATGATGCTTTTCACTGGGATCAGGGATCCTGCGGACAAACACGGACAGACCGAGGCTTTGTGTTTATTTACGTCAAACTTGTGACTATTAGATAATCTTAATGCATTTTCCTATTTTTTTTTACTTTTTTAAATTTCTAATATATTAAAAAATAAAATTTATATTCAAAAATATTAAAATGTATTTAATTGTAGCATTTCTAATACATATAAAAATTTGCATTAATATAAATTAAACATTTAGATTTTGAGTCAAATTTAAATTTTTTTTATGTAACTACACAACCGTTTGAACTTAACTCTCATTGCATTTTTTTCCACAATTGTATGGTTGAACTTCAATAATCGCACTGAATTTTCTCATCGAAAACATCTTTGTTAGTTGAAAGAAAATAAACATCAACTAAAATAAAATATTCAAAAATTACTTTTACTTCAGCTAAAGAAATAAAATTCTCATTTTCATTTTAAAAACCATAAAAACTCTATAGACATATTAAAAAAAATAAAACAGAAACACGAGATTAAATTTTTCATTTAAGATTTACATTAATTTACATTTTCTCATTTTTACAAGGTTATATGGTTGTATGTAATCATTCAAAATTAATCAAATAATTTTTTTATATTTAATAAATGGGAAATATCAGTAACTACATACCAAACGTGATCCCCAACTAACTTTCTGATTTATGCCATTTTGGCATAAATGTTAATTTAAATTACAATTTATATTTTTAATTTACTTTTTTTTAAATTAAATGTAAAGCTATTTATATTAATAAATGCAATGTGCTAATATTTCTATTAAAACATCACAAAATATATTTTTAGATTAAAACATTTATTTTTTATATACACTGTAACAAGCAGGTTTTCGAAGCTGTGAATAAAACAAAGACAATTCGAGTATGTTTTACAAGAAAATCCTATTTCACATTCTTCTAATTCAGAATTTAATGTTTAACCCAATCTGTTCATTTTTGTTATTGTTTGTTAAATTTACTAGCAATTTTTGAGTGTAAGAATTGTTTTTACACCAATTTGTTTTTAAGTGTAGAAGAAACTTAAATCATTTTTAAATCTATATTTTGTCCATGTCTGATAGATGATTTAGGTGAACAGCACATTTGTATGACTAATTAAATCAGGGCTCATTTGCGGTAATATATGCAGCAGCTGAAGTGTTTCTGCTCATTTGAATATGTGATTACAGACTCACTCTAATCAGTCGTGAACAACACTTTCTTTAAAACATAAAAACGAGCCACATATCCTCGTATCAACTTGCATTTCTTGAAAATAAGCAGCTCATTAAAAATCAGTCACTGTCCCTGTTAGTGTCTGATGACATCATAGGAAGTGTGGGCGGGCTCTAAGCTCTTCAGAGCTGCCGATTGGCTGTCTGTGATGATTGATGGCTCACAAGGCAGGAAGTCATCGTTGCCGACGCTGGAGTTCTGCTCGGAGCTCACGAAGTTCGGAATGTGGAAGTCGGACAGGAAGTGCTCGTCTTCATCACCTCTCTCGTCCTCTGCCGCCCCCTGGAGGTGGAGCCCGGGGCCCCGCCCACAACGCCTCCCTCGGCCAATCACAGTGTCTCTGACGGTCTCCTCGTGAATCGCCCACAATGCCTCCCTCGGCCAATCACAGCGTCTCTGACGGCCTCCTCGTGAATGTAGAAGTGAAAGAGGGAACGTGATTCGTCCGGCAGCGGCGGCAGAGAAAGCGCCTGAGAGCCGCCGAGCTCCAGCACACAGTCAGCTAGACCATGATGCTTTTCACTGGGATCAGGGATCCTGCGGACAAACACGGACAGACCGAGGCTTTGTGTTTATTTACGTCAAACTTGTGACTATTAGATAATCTTAATGCATTTTCCTATTTTTTTTTACTTTTTTAAATTTCTAATATATTAAAAAATAAAATTTATATTTAAAAATATTAAAATGTATTTAATTGTAGCATTTCTAATACATATAAAAATTTGCATTAATATAAATTAAACATTTAGATTTTGAGTCAAATTTAAATTTTTTTTATATAACTACACAACCGTTTGAACTTAACTCTCATTGCATTTTTTTCCACAATTGTATGGTTGAACTTCAATAATCGCACTGAATTTTCTCATCGAAAACATCTTTGTTAGTTGAAAGAAAATAAACATCAACTAAAATAAAATATTCAAAAATTACTTTTACTTCAGCTAAAGAAATAAAATTCTCATTTTCATTTTAAAAACCATAAAAACTCTATAGACATATTAAAAAAAATAAAACAGAAACACGAGATTAAATTTTTCATTTAAGATTTACATTAATTTACATTTTCTCATTTTTACAAGGTTATATGGTTGTATGTAATCATTCAAAATTAATCAAATAATTTTTTTATATTTAATAAATGGGAAATATCAGTAACTACATACCAAACGTGATCCCCAACTAACTTTCTGATTTATGCCATTTTGGCATAAATGTTAATTTAAATTACAATTTATATTTTTAATTTACTTTTTTTTAAATTAAATGTAAAGCTATTTATATTAATAAATGCAATGTGCTAATATTTCTATTAAAACATCACAAAATATATTTTTAGATTAAAACATTTATTTTTTATATACACTGTAACAAGCAGGTTTTCGAAGCTGTGAATAAAACAAAGACAATTCGAGTATGTTTTACAAGAAAATCCTATTTCACATTCTTCTAATTCAGAATTTAATGTTTAACCCAATCTGTTCATTTTTGTTATTGTTTGTTAAATTTACTAGCAATTTTTGAGTGTAAGAATTGTTTTTACACCAATTTGTTTTTCAGTGTAGTAGAAACTTAAATCATTTTTAAATCTATATTTTGTCCATGTCTGATATATGATTTAGGTGAACAGCACATTTGTATGACTAATTAAATCAGGGCTCATTTGCGGTAATATATGCAGCAGCTGAAGTGTTTCTGCTCATTTGAATATGTGATTACAGACTCACTCTAATCAGTCGTGAACTCATCAGTACTCTGTTTCTATGAAGGCGCATGTGATAACAATAACAAATCTGAACAAAAGCAGCATGTAGTGTGTTATTAAGCGTGCGTGTGTGTGTGTGTGTTATTAAGCGTGCGTGTGTGTGTGTGTGTGTGTTATTAAGCGTGCGTGTGTGTGTGTGTGTGTGTGTGCACAAGCTCCATCACTTTTCCTTCTTATGATTTCTCTGGGCTGCTTTATTTCCATAACAAAGAAAACCAAGGTGAAATCTCAAAAGAGATCGCATAAGAGTGATATGAATGTTCTTATCTATTATAACACATTACTGTCATCTCCATGGAAACAACAATTCCCCTCTTTCCTCCGTTATAAGTGCCGTGCCCTCGCTGCCTGTGCCATTACGCTCATTATAGACCTGTGAGAGACGGTAAAAATTATTTGACCAAAGTAAGAGGGATCATACAAAATGCATGTTATTGTTTATTTAGTGCTGAGCTGAATAAGATATTCACATAAAAGATGTTCACATATAGTCCACAAGAGAAAATAATCTCTTATATAAAGAAAATAAAGAATTTATAAAAAAAAGAAACCTCTAAATAAAGTCACCTTATAGTGAAAGTCTTGTAGAAATGTTCTGATCACTAATGTAATCTACTGCATAAACACTTTCTTTAAAACATAAAAACGAGCCACATATCCTCGTATCAACTTGCATTTCTTGAAAATAAGCAGCTCATTAAAAATCAGTCACTGTCCCTGTTAGTGTCTGATGACATCATAGGAAGTGTGGGCGGGCTCTAAGCTCTTCAGAGCTGCTGATTGGCTGTCTGTGATGATTGATGGCTCACACGGCAGGAAGTCATCGTTGCCGACGCTGGAGTTCTGCTCGGAGCTCACGAAGTTCGGAATGTGGAAGTCGGACAGGAAGTGCTCGTCTTCATCACCTCTCTCGTCCTCTGCCGCCCCCTGGAGGTGGAGCCCGGGGCCCCGCCCACAACACCTCCCTCGGCCAATCACAGTGTCTCTGACGGTCTCCTCGTGAATGTAGAAGTGAAAGAGGGAACGTGATTCGTCCGGCAGCGGCGGCAGAGAAAGCGCCTGAGAGCCGCCGAGCTCCAGCACACAGTCAGCTAGACCATGATGCTTTTCACTGGGATCAGGGATCCTGCGGACAAACACGGACAGACCGAGGCTTTGTGTTTATTTACGTCTTGTGACTATTAGATAATCTTAATGCATTTTCCTATTTTTTTTAACTTTTTAAAATTTCTAATATATTAAAAAATAAAATTTATATTCAAAAATATTAAAATGTATTTAATTGTAGCATTTCTAATACATATAAAAATTTGCATTAATATAAATTAAACATTTAGATTTTGAGTCAAATTTAAATTTTTTTTATATAACTACACAACCGTTTGAACTTAACTCTCATTGCATTTTTTTCCACAATTGTATGGTTGAACTTCAATAATCGCACTGAATTTTCTCATCGAAAACATCTTTGTTAGTTGAAAGAAAATAAACATCAACTAAAATAAAATATTCAAAAATTACTTTTACTTCAGCTAAAGAAAAAAAATTCTCATTTTCATTTTAAAAACCATAAAAACTCTATAGACATATTAAAAAAAATAAAACAGAAACACGAGATTAAATTTTTCATTTAAGATTTACATTAATTTACATTTTCTCATTTTTACAAGGTTATATGGTTGTATGTAATCATTCAAAATTAATCAAATAATTTTTTTATATTTAATAAATGGGAAATATCAGTAACTACATACCAAACGTGATCCCCAACTAACTTTCTGATTTATGCCATTTTGGCATAAATGTTAATTTAAATTACAATTTATATTTTTAATTTACTTTTTTTTAAATTAAATGTAAAGCTATTTATATTAATAAATGCAATGTGCTAATATTTCTATTAAAACATCACAAAATATATTTTTAGATTAAAACATTTATTTTTTATATACACTGTAACAAGCAGGTTTTCGAAGCTGTGAATAAAACAAAGACAATTCGAGTATGTTTTACAAGAAAATCCTATTTCACATTCTTCTAATTCAGAATTTAATGTTTAACCCAATCTGTTCATTTTTGTTATTGTTTGTTAAATTTACTAGCAATTTTTGAGTGTAAGAATTGTTTTTACACCAATTTGTTTTTCAGTGTAGTAGAAACTTAAATCATTTTTAAATCTATATTTTGTCCATGTCTGATATATGATTTAGGTGAACAGCACATTTGTATGACTAATTAAATCAGGGCTCATTTGCGGTAATATATGCAGCAGCTGAAGTGTTTCTGCTCATTTGAATATGTGATTACAGACTCACTCTAATCAGTCGTGAACTCATCAGTACTCTGTTTCTATGGAGGCGCATGTGATAACAATAACAAATCTGAACAAAAGCAGCATGTAGTGTGTTATTAAGCGTGCGTGTGTGTGTGTGTGTGTGTTATTAAGCGTGCATGTGTGTGTGTGTGTGTGTGTGCATGTGAATTATGGACAGTCTGTGAGTTTGGCATAATAAGTGCTCCAGTATTGTGTGGGGTTTTATTTATAGTCCCAAAGACTCACACTCTCTGACTGATGAGATCTCTTTAATATCTCATAATGCTTTCAAAATCAACACTGTTTTCACATTATTTTATAAAACAGTCAGAACTTTCAACCATATTTTATCTGATCGGCAACTTCTCGTTTAAAGAGCTAAAGTGAAAAACAGTTTTGAATGTTACCATATTAATACTGCATTTACACCTTTTTTTACATATTGAAAATGTAGATTTTTTTGTTAAATCTCAAATTACACATGAACCACACCAAAAAATATATGATGCAAAATATAGATTTTTGTTCAATATTGATGAGACATTTGATTTAAAATGTATCATTGTATGACATTTAAAACAACATATAATCTGAGAATTACCAGTGGAATGAATGGAAATTAATTCAATTCTTTTGAATAGCTTAAAATCAGTCCAAACTTATCAAACCTTCATATTTACTTCATATACTACATATATATGTTGCGTAAACGTTCACTTTCAGATGAAAAAATGATCTGTTTTTCATCTCAATAGATGTACATATTCATGTTCACCAACAACATTTAGTCGAAAAATGTGTGAGATATAAGCTGAATAGATTTCACAAACGTTTTTGACACTTATTTAACTCCATAGATCATTTAACAGAAAGCATTTTTGACACCATTGGTGCTCCATACACACCCGGGTCAAAAATGACCTAAACATTTTAAATGATTAAATCTCTTTAAACAATTTAAAAACTGAAAAAAGTAGTGTATTTTGAGGCTCTTAAAGTGTATCTCTTCCAGGTCAAAACTGACATGAATGCGTTATGAGGGTTAAAGTCTCGTATTAAAGTTTCAGAAAAGATCTGAACAACGTTGTGGAAGTGAAAAAGTCAGAGATCTGAATATAAACTCACATTTATCATCAAAATCCAAAAAAAATCAAATGCTATCCACATATATTTAATAATGTGTGTGTGTGTTTTACTCACTCTGGATGCAGAGCTCCTGTTTTGGTCAGCAGCGTCAAAACAAAGAACATGAAGATGACAAACACGGCCAGTCCGACCCAGAAACCAATCACAATAGAGTCTGACGAAAAAAAAGCAGCATTTAGAACACACACACAAACTTGCACACGCGCACACACACACACACACACTCACACACACACTCACACACACACACT